TTGACTACTGATCTTAATATTTTTAATCCAGGGGACCAACCGAATAATCAGCCTCTAGAAATAAATTACATTCAGGAAAGATCAGAAGAAGAAGAAGAAGAAGAAGAAGAGTCTAATTTGAGTTTTGAGGAAATTTTTGATGAAGAGTTAGAGTTTTTAGAAGAAGCAGATCAGGTCCTTGAGAATAATGAAACTGTGTTAAACATTTGTTGCTTTGAATTAAATTTTGAAGAAATCTTTCTTGATGAACTTAGATTCTTAGAGAATAATCAACAACCAAATTTTTAGAACTCTACATAAGAATTAGTTGTTAGAAAACAAAACTTCACAGTACAAGAGTCTGAGTTCATTAAGAAATACAATATGCATGACACTAATAATACCTACCTTACTTTGTTGCAAGAATTATTAAACACACTGAAATGCTTGAAATTTTACATTATTGATTATATCATTCTGAATTTATTTAAAATCCGGGGAAGAATTTTCATTGATTATATCATTCTGAATTTATTTAAAATCCGGGGAAGAATTTTCAACAATAAGGTAGGATTCAATATAGAATACGAGCTCTTCGTGTTGAACACTTCATTCTACATTATTTGTTTTGTTTATTTCAAAATAATAAAAAGAATTTATTCTTCTCTTATTCGAGAGTTTCTTATTCAGTTGAAAAAAAAGAAAAAAAAACAAAAAAAAGAAAAAAAATAAGAGAATAATAAATTTCTGATTCTATCCTCCACAGACCAAAGGTAATTGCAGATTTTTATCAGCTGATCAAATGTAAGTACTTCACTTCTTATCTGCTTTACTTTGTGCATCATAGAGTTTGTATTGAGAACAATGCAAAATTTAGGTGTGGTGGTGGGAATTAGTTAGTTTTTCTCTTTGTTTTACATTTTTTGTTGCATTTTTTTTCTTTTCCTAAAAAAAATTATAAAAATATTATCACTTGCCAAATTGATAGAGTTATGTAATAATTGATTTATTAGATAAATTTTAAATTTTCTAATCTGTTATTTACTCAAGTTCACCTTTTATGATAACTCTAAATAAAGTTCTTAAGAAATAATTTTCAAAGTAGTATACTTTACTTAAGCCTTAACTTAGATTTTTATTTAAAATAATGAAATGCATGCTTAGCTTAGAGTTAAAAATAATTTTTCAAAGTGGCTTGACTTACATATTTTTCAGAATATATACACATATACATATAAAAAAAATTGCAAAAAGAAGAGTGCGAAAAATAGGCACAAAAAAAACTCTTTAATTCAAGGTGATTATATCTTATAAAGCCTAAGTTGATCGAGTAATTAAGCTCAATGAGTATTTCTATACTTAATGACCTAAGCCCAATTGGGTTGGGATCCATTGGCCCAAAACTCGTTAAATGATCACTTAGAAAACCCGTTAAAGTAGAAAAAAATCACCAAGGAAGAAAGAGTTAAAGATAATATAAAAAAATTAAAAAATAAAAATAAAAATACTATTAAATATTTTATATATGTATATATGGTCTTGGAAAATATTTTAGATCAAGCAACTTGAATATTATTTTAAACAAAGAGTTAGCTTGTTCTTTTCAAAACTTTTAAATTAAATTTCTAAGTTTGGCTTGGTTTTGTAATGCTATAATGAGAAGATTTTCTAGGAAATATACCTTAGAGTTATATATAAAAATGTTTTCTTGAGTAATAACTAGCTTAAATTATCAAGTAATTTTAGTTATTTACTAACTTCTTTAATTTGGCAAGATGATCAAATTTTATGGGTATATTCACTGCAAACCCTCACGAGACTACAACTCGTCCACTAGGGCAACCTAGGGGTTTAAAGACTTGTTGTATGCGCTAAATACAACCGCGATTCCTGCGAAAGTGAGTTAGGTTTTCTTTCATTTTATTTTCTTTGCTAGAGGACTAGCAAAGGTTTAGGTGTGGAAGTATTTGATAATCACATTTTATTATAATTTTATACTCTCATTATCTATTTGATATGAATAAATATACCACTAATAATTATTTTTATCTTTAATTGCAGGTTAATAAAGAATAAATCTCAAACTCCAATCTCTCAACAAAAAACCCTTGATTTATTGAAGAAATGAAACCCATGAAAGCAAACAATTTCTTTCAATATTCAATGACGTGTTGAAGCCCAAATGAAGAAAAAAAAACCAAAGCCCAAAAGAAGAAAAAAAATACCAAAAGCTCAAGCCCAAAAGCCAAAGAGAAGAGAAGTTGCGGGATGAAATTAGAGAAAGACTCACATTGATGCCAGCATCGATGGGGGCATCGATGCCAGCATCGATGCCCGTATCGATGCCAGCATCGATACCCCTATCGATGCTGGCATCGATAACATCGGCCAGGCGGTTATAATCTAAAGGTTGAAATTTGTTATTTTTGGATAAAATTTTAATCCAATGGCTCTCATTCACTGATGTTTACTATAAATAGGGATAGAAAGTGAGGGGTTAGAGGGGGTGAAAATTTTTTGTAACTCCTTTTGGAGAGAAGGGCTACTCTTAATTGAGAATGTCTTCCAAATTTGTAACTTTTTGTTACAATTAATAAAATAATTTTTTTACCACTTTAAATTTTTCTCTTCTTCTCTTTGTTGGATGATGAAGATGAAGATGAAGATGGAGATTAATTTGAAGGTTTGTTTTTCTTATTTCTCTTTTATTGCTTATTAGTTTAGATTTATTTCATGCTTGTAATTAGATTTTATTTTCTTGTTTAAATAGCCAAGAGGCTAGAACCCTCTTGTCTTAGATTTATTTCATGCTTATAGATTAGATTTATTTCATGCTTATAGAGTAGATTTATTTTCTTGTATTTAATTCTTGCAATTTATTTTTAGTTTAGATTTTGCAATTTATTTTGTAGTTAGATTTTAATGTTTTACACTATTCACCTTGAGGCTAGAACCCTCTTGGGTTTAGTTTTTTTTTCTTTGATTTGCCTTTAGGCTAGAACCCTCTAGGGAATTGTCTTTTTCTAAGAAGTGGATTCAATTCTAGATTACCCATATCTTTAATTGAATCCGCTATCTTTACATTCATTCTAGATTACCCATATCTTTAATTGAATCCGCTATCTTTACATTCTTGATTTTTTATTTGTTTCTCGATTTCCTTTACATTCTTGATTTTTTATTTGTTTCTCGATTTTATTCATTCTTCCTTCTTGCCTTGTTGATCACAATTAATTTTTTACTCACTTCCACTCTCAAATATATTCATTTACACAATCACAATCATTTTCTCCACAATCACATTCACTCATCACTCTTATTTGTTACGCACACAACATAAGAACTGATTTTATATTTTCTCCTACAAAACACCTTCCTCGTGGGATCGGTAACTCTTTATACTATAACTTGATCAATTGTGCACTTATAATTTTGGTACATAATTATGCCACATCAGCTTCATGCTTTCTATGCAAGAGATATATCCTTCCAAATCTAGAAAACTCATCTATAAATGTAATAAAATATAGATGACCATTTCTACTTTGTACATTCATAGGGCCACAAATATCTGAATGGATGATATCAAGAATACCACTGCTTCTCTTGGCTATAGAAGGAAATAGAACTTTAGTCATTTTTTTTCATACAAACATCTCTTACAAGTGGGAAACTCCATAACACTAACATTATCAAGTAAGCCATCCTTGACTGACTGACTAATCCTCTCTTTGCCAATGTGTCCAAGGTGTAAATGCCACAAATAAAATTTATTTGACTGGATAACAAAAGACTTTGAAACTTCACAAATAAGATTTTCATATAACTGGACTTAATACATATCTAAATTTTGAAAACCTTTTATTATTATTGCACCATCTTTATACATTAAAACTTTCCATTTCCAAAATAGAATGTAAATCCAAGTTTTTCCGAACAAGAAATAGATAAAAAAATTCTCCTCATTGAAGGAGCATAAAGACAATCTTCTAAATTAAAAAATTTATTCTCTTACAATATTAACTGGTAAGTTCACACTCCCTCTATAGACGCTTTGTCATCATTCCCCATATAGGTAAAGCTTTGACCACTTTCAATTCTTCTTATTTCCTTGAATCCTTATAAATCATTCGACACATGAACAATTGCACCAGAGTCAGCCCACCAACTAAAAGGTTCAATATAAGAAACACAACATTCAAGAAGAAATGACTCACTAGGAAGTACTCAAGCTCTTGCCATCAGCATTCTGATTGTTTGCAATTTTCCAAGCTCTGCAATTCTTCCTAATATGACCAGGCTTGTTACAATAAAAACATAATTTTTGTTAAGTTTTTACTTCAACTTGTTGATTGAATATCTGCTGATTACGACCCTAATTATAACTTTGATATCCAAACTTCTTCCCTTTCTTCTTGAAGCCTTTATTATTTTTCGGTTTAAACATCACATTACTAGCAGATGGGTTTGACTTTGCTACATCATCAACCTTTGTCACAGCTTTTCTATCCTCCTGATGATCAATCTTATTAATTAGATGCTCAACTGTCCAATTAGACAACCAATGTATAGTAATCCTCAATATACTTGTATGAATATGGCAGTGAATTAATGATTGTGGACACAATGATATTCTCATCAAGAACTCATCCATGAAGTATCAACAACAGCCACCACGTCATTAACATGTTTCCTAACATCAGTTCCTTCCTCACATTGAGCTCTAGTAAACTTCTTCCACAAGTTGCTCACATGAGAATCAGATTTCTTCACATGTTTAGCCTCTAACTTGTCCAAGATTTCTTTAGTGGTAGGAGTATTAAAGTAAGTCATTCAAAGGGTTTTGTTGAGACAATTAAGCACATAAGACTTAGAAATATCATTGGCCAATTTCTAGTTGTTATACTTTCTAACAAATTGAATTTAGCTTTATCAACTTCGTCAGGCTGGGGTTTCTTAGGAGTTTGTTCAGTGAAAAGAATATCCTTATACCCATAAAAGGTTAATAACATATCAACTCTTTATTTCCAGTCCACATAATTAGTTCCATCCAGAGCTTTATTTCTTAGAATATCTGCAAACGCAGAACCACCACTAGGTGAAGGCAATACTATTCCTATAGAATGAACATACACAAATTATTCACACATCTTATGATTTTCAATAATCTCAATTTATCCAATGGGGATTTATGAAGATTATCAAATTTCATAAGAACAAATCACAACATTCACATATCTAATCAAAATAATATTATATGACTCACATTACCCGATGGGGATTTAGTAAGCCATATAATAAGCTATTATCTACTCAACAAACATAATTATATGATTTACATTCCCCAATGGGGATTTAATAAATTATATAATTAGCCACAAATCACTACTGTACAAAATATAATTATATGGTTCACATTATCTGATGGGGATTTTGTCAACCATATAATTAGCCACTAACTACACATTAAGCATTATCTGATGGGGATTTTGCAAATTGCGTAGTTAATTAGTCTAACGTATAATATAAATCTTAAAACTTAAACCATGCCAAAAAATTCAGTCGGCTCTCTCGTAGCCGCCCTCTCTAGGGTTTTGAAAACCATAGTTTTCAGTCAGCTCTCTCTCTTTTGTAGCTACCCCCTCTCTAGGGTTTTGAAAACTCTAGATCTCAGTCAGTTCCTTTTTCTCTCTAGAAGCGCGTAACGCTTCTATCCTCCTCCCTCGTGATGGATCTCCATCGGCACAACCATCTCTTTTCATTTTTTCTCTGGCCGGTTTCTACAATCTTTGTGAGACACGAC